CTCTCTTTCTTTCCACCTAGGGCCTAAGCATCTCCGAGGAAGAGAGCCTTGGAAGCGATTAACGTTGTCGGAAGCTTGGTGGTGCTCAATAAGCCGAGGTGGATGCTTTGCCAGGTGCTGCTGTGAAACTCATGATCTTCACAGACTAGAGCTACCATTGGCTGCAGCGGCTAAGTCATGAGGTGTTACGTAGGCGTGTCCAAACTGTCGGCACAGAGAAGACGCAATTGCCAATAATTGCCCAGGCATGGGCTCGTCAGCGAACCCGGTGCACCGGTTCGCTTCATCGCCAAGACAGAGAACATCAGCCCAAGGAAAAGACCTACCTTTATCTGCCGCCGGTCACAAACGCTGGTTTCCAGGGCGCAACAACCAGACGGTTCCACAACTATCGCTACTGTCCATCCGGATATGGACGGAGATCAACAGTCAGTGCTATCGTCCTAAAGATAATTAAGCAGGGCATTGAAATAGACCGGATAAGAGCGTGACGGCACTTCAATACAAGGGATCTTTCCCCCATGCAGCACTGCCCTTCCCACGCCCGCAACCATTGTCTTGAACCCCTACTTGGGGACTTGAGTGACCCTTATTTCGTAGATCTTCTGGGGGACGTGCCCACAGGGCCGCGGCCTGCGGGCTTGTGGCACACTACCGCCCGGGGCTCCAGAACCCCCACTTCCATAGCGCCTGCACTATGATTGTAATGTGACGAAAAATATGCCAGTCCGAGGTTACACTGGGATGTGTGGAAACACGAGGGGATCCTCAATTCCGCGTAAAACGTGATGCATTTGTCGCTTTGCGATGGGAACATTTCAGGTGTCAAAGACTGGTGATTTAGAGTTGCCCGAGAGAACAAGAGGAAGCTGATCGAGATCTAATACTGACTCTAAATTGGTAGCGCTGTGTGAAACTCTTGGAGGGTTCAAGACGGAGCTGTCCGGCTGGATGAGCCTGAATCACAGTGACGCACCTCGGCTCGAGTTCAGCGACGAACTGGCGAAGAGTAGCTTGCGAGGAAGATTGGGAAAACCTGAAACCCCAAAAACATTCATCTTTGGGTGTGAAATCACCCAATAATGGCCATCAAGCTATCATAATTAAAAGGTGCGTGCGAACCATGGCACGGTTACCTCAGAGTCCGACAAAAGTTCTACCAAGGCCTCAATTCGACGAGGGAAACAACGACGGTTCTAGAATTGGTGGCGTTGGTCATCATTCCCCATGGGAATTGAGTTTGAGGACGAGCAGCTGCTACAGACTTGGGCCACAATGATGCCACAAGAAGAACGGGAATTCAAGTACATAGGGATTGTGCTCTTCAGCAAAAGCCCACTGCACTCTGCTGTCAAAAGTCTAATTCCCCAGAAGAAGGGCCCGCAGGCCACGACGCCAATGTGCCAAGCCGGAACGGAGTCAAAGACAAGACCTTTGACGGAAAAGCCAAGTTCAAAAAAGCTGGAGCTCAGGAGCCGAGATCCCTGGGTACCTATAGCAAAACATCCACAAAATCGCTCGCACCCCATTAAGGGGAATTCCTTGGTTGAGCCTCATCAGCCCTGACAATGGGCGGTTGTGGCTTCAGCCGCTTCATCAAGACCAGTTGACAGGTGCTTCCGGTTGCAAAGTGCGAGGGATCATGGGGGCGCGCGGATGGCCGATTATCACTAGTAAATCTCGATTATCGGGTATTTGTGCTCGTTTCAATGTCCTCTCCAATTATACGTAACCAAGTACGGCGAGCGTGTTATGCTTTTTTTCAACTTTACCCGGACACGCCTTATAACCCGATTAAGTGACAGGGTGGTAGTTTACCTTGTGCCTTACTGGGATCCGCGATGAGGCCTCTGACTGGTCCAATTTTGATCTGAAACCTGCCCGCCGGACTCAATAATAGGTAGTAGCTTGTTGGACATCTCCTCCACACGTTCGAGCGAGATCGCTGAGTGCCACAGGTAGGCGGTACCGCTGTCGCGGCGTTGGGGACGAGGCACATCAGCTGAAAACTCTAAAAGGAGGATCAACCCCTCTCTCTGCACTGATTCATTTGGCCCTGTCGACGCGAAGCTCTGACCCCAATAGGTTCCACAGTAGCGGAACACTCGGACAATTAGGTTCGACAGGACGGAACACCGGGAACTCACTTGGGAGGAGAAAGACTGGGCGAATAGCTCTCTCCCCGTTGTCACTGGTTCCCTAATCGAGAAGTCAGCCCAGTCGATCCCACATCCGCCACACCCTCGGGGGGTCTGGTTCCAACATGTCGGCACCTTGCATAATACGACGGGACACCCTATATCAGCCTTGCTCATTATAGCTCATTATAGAGGAAAGGGAATTGGCCCGACCCAAGACGGAGTACTCCAGTTGTCCGGGGGCAGGGTCTAGACTTACGGGTGCTTGTGGGCACCAGAATGCTTCTTGATGCTTGGCAGATATTCTCGCGAAGAGAGTCCGTGAGAAGAGCTTCATGATGCTTCGTTTGGGGAGGCTGGAAATAAACAAACCCGAGAGAACCTGAGCACTTGTCAGTTGAATACAATCTCGATCTCCTCGATCGTCCAAAACGCTGGGTTATCTATCAAATTACTACCGGCTTCAGTGATGGCTTTTGGCAAAGGCTATCGCCCCGCTGGCTTCCGACGTCTCGCAAACTTACGTCTAACTAACTTTCCATCCGAGCAAGGACTTGACTCGAGACGAAGGCTTCCATCGCGATGCAGGATTAGGAAGATACTCTACTTAAGCTCCTTATACTCGCCAACTTCAGCAGAACACTAAATGTGTAATGACGATGAACTCGCGTTCTCTGCTTCTTTAGCTCTGTCTTTCCCATATCTAAGCTCGTCATACGCACCTATTCTTGCCTGTTGAAGAAACATTAAGCATCTGCGGTTCACAACTTACTTTCTCTTCTTGGACGTCTTTATATCTCCAAGAACTGCCGGCTAAGACTTCTCTACTTGTGTGGCAACCATCAAGCTTAGTGTGCAGCCCTAATTGAAGAAGACCGGATCTTCATTCCTAAACTTGTTGAACAAGGCAATGTCGATGCAAACACCCAGAGAAGATATCTCTCTTGTTTTCAACCGCAAGAGAAGAAAGGTCCGCAAGTCCTGCAACGCCTGCAGCTCTCAAAAGATTCGTTGCGGTAAACAGCGCCCAAAATGCCAACGCTGCGAGACAAAGGGCCTCGAGTGTGCTTACAGCATGTCAATGCGAACCGGTGAACGCCCTCGCGTTCTCGCCTCGCCAAGCTCATTATCGGACACCCAGGCAACGATGTCCCTTGTCATGAGGGACGGCCCGGCGCTGGCCATGTCCAACGCCTCTACCATTTCTCAGATCTCACAACAGCAGCAACAACAAGAACGCCGTATGTCAGAGCAGCCTTCGGAACACCACGCCGACCTCCAGGATGAGATGATGTGGCTGCTGGAAGGCACCTCGGATTCTGACAATCTTTTGGACCAAAGCCTTTGCTTTGACGCGACTGCGGACTTTGGGGTCCCAATGACTCTGAACGACTTGTCAGCCACTTCGACAAAGCACTCATCTGCGGCGATGCCGACTCCCATGACACAGGAATATGACAGAACCTCCTTCTTCGACCAGCCCGTGGACCACAAAATGCAACAATCCATGGAAGCACCACTGAGACGTTCCGGCACAGTCGACTCAGCTCGCAGCAGCTCCAGCACGTACTCAGACGACGGCCTCTCTCGTCACAGCAAAATCCACGACTGCACCATGGAGGTTCTGGAAATCGTCTCCGACTTTCATGTTCTCGCGCAAGGTTGCCTCACCGCCGTCAAGGACCCGGCGTGCACGTCCCATCTTGAGCGCCTACTCGACGACACCCCCCGCGAGATGGGCACCGTCTTATCGCACAACCGGGAGATCCTCCGCAGGCTCAACAACCTTCTTGACTGCCGCTGCTTCATGAGACAGGAAGTGCTTGTTTTGGTGTACCTGGCCGTATACAAGGCCCTGGGCTGGTACGCGGCGATCCTTGGCGACGACGGTTCGTCCCAAGATATGGACCAATCACAGTTCTCGCTCTTTGGGCGCATTGCCATCACCACCTCGTTCGTCGGAAGTTATTGTCTGGACAATGAGGCGCAGCGACTCGTTGCCGCTCACCTGGTCCTGACGCACGTTCGCGAACACGTCGATCCTCTTATCAAGAGGTTGCGCCACTGGCACCCTTCGGCGACCAGGCATAACTCGTTGCCGTCTACACCGTCTTGTCCCGATGCAACCATCTGTTCGATATCTTTCCCCGCCACCAAGGGACGCATGTCTAGTGTTATTGACCAACACCACCAGGCACTCCAGGAGGAACTTGAGAGAATCACCTTCAAGGCAAACTCTATCAAGCGTACATGATTTTCGTCTTCGTCTGTTTTCATTTGTTTTCCTTCCTTTCCTTTGTCTGCAACATCTAGGTCTTGGATGGGACATGGGGGGTTTGGGTAATTTACTTCTTTAAAGGTACTTTGTGTAACTTTCCGGTCCGTCACATTGAAGCGAAGCACCAGAAGTGTAGAATTAGGTGTCACATCTTATGTTGGTATCAAACCAGCTTTCAGGCATTAGCAGCATTTACTGGCTTTTAGGCACAGCAGCGATTTAGATATACCCGCTATTAGGCACAGCATTTCTAGGATACCAGCGTTAGAGATACCCAGCTTTTAGGCTTACCACGGGGAAGGGGTGAAAGCATCAAGCAATACATTACGGCCTTTACGATCTTTGAACAACAATATCAAACCATTAACCTGATTCCGTGTTTCTTATCTGCTTCCATATGTACCTAGACTGAACCCTGGATTGCCTCCTCGCGTATTACATGGGACCCCAATAAGTGCGAAATATACCCCTTTCAGCTATACGAGCCTCTCGCTCAACTTCGTAGCAAACTAATGATCTATCTGTTGTTATGGAAAATCTATGGGCACGATGATCCCTGATAGAGTTCCTCTCGCTTCACTGACTCACGCCAAACCTATGTCGATGAGAGAAAGTTCCCCGAGCTCAGGGCGAAATACTGTCTTCACGTGGAGCTTGGGCGTCACTGCGCTGCAGAGGCTTTCGAAAGCAGTTCTCGTGCGTTCACGACCATTAAGGTTCATCAACATCAAAAGGTCCCGATCACTAAAGCTTGTCAATACGAGTTCTTCCGGACCAAGAGGCTTGTGGGGTGGAACTTACTGCATGCGACGCTCCCTCTCACGACTCTCTTGTCCTGGCTCGGGAACCACGACGTCGTTGATGATGATACGGTCATGGGGTCTCAGAGATGACGCCAGACTCTGAAGAATGTTTTGGGCGTACTTGTCACTCCAGTCGTGAAGGATAAAACGGCAGAAATAAGCAATTCCTTCTCCCTCGGCAACCTTGTGCTCAGGCTGAGGCTTCATGAAGTCGTGCGGACGGAAAGTGACGCGACCCTTCAACTCTTCAGGGCAGGACTTGGCCCCAACTTCGACAGTCTCTGGCAAGTCTTGAACCTCGAACTGGAGCTTTGGGTACTTCTTGGCCAGAGCCATTGAAATATGGCCAGGGCCACCACCAACGTCAACAACGAGACGGATGTGGTCTTTTTCCAGCGAGTGCCACGGGTAGCCGCCGTCAACGGCGTGACGTAGGTCGTAAGCACCGCCGACCGCAATACCACGCATGGCACGGGCAAACATGTCGTGCAGTTGCTGGCCGTCCGCCTCGCGGAAGCGCTGGAACTGAGAGATCTTTCTGCCGATTGAGACTCCGTAGGCAGACTCGTTCGCCTCCATGCTGTAGCCGTAGCTTTGCAGCGCTTTGGGAACAGAAGCACCGGCGGGGTAAGCAATGGTGGCACTCAGGTCCATCCATGCTTCAAGGTCAGGGTCTGTCACGAGAAGCGCAGACATGGCGTTGTGAGCGACGGTGCCGCCTGGCTGGGCCTCGAACAAGCCATAGGAAGACGTGTGCTGGAGAGTACGCTCGACGAGGGCTGGGGTAGCCTCGGGCTTGCCGACTGCTTTAGAAACGGCTGCATACGTTGTGCTTCCTTCAAGTGGAATATGACTGGCTAACTTGTACTGGAGAGCAATTTGAAGAGAAGCAGTTGCGCAGTGCTCAAAGCTCAGAGTGATGAGTGTGTCTCTGGGTCCGCGAGCCAGACGAACAATACGTTCTGCGGCATCAACGATTGATGTCTTTGCTTGAAAATAGGGCACATTCTCGGGAGTGAGTTCGAGATTGGGTGCAGCGGCTTCGGTGGAGAGCTTTTCAAGACCGCGCTTGGAAAGGAACTTATTCAGCTCAGCCGAAGCTGATGACAGGGTTGCGACAAGCTCGGTGAGCTCGTCTTCGACAATACGGCTAGGCATCTTGATGATTGGTGGGTGAGGTAATATCGACTGAGATTGGTCTGATGATGAAAGCACAGAAGCAAAGGCTTGTGGTTTGAGAGTAATTTGGGAAAAGTGCACGGTGTGATGTAACTCCAGGCATGGCGGTTGATGTTTTTTCAATCAGTTAAGAATGAATGCCAACCCGCACTATCGAAACTCACCGCATCGCTCTTTACATAACGCCGGCTTCCCGAGTTGCTTTACCGCAAGCCGGGCGTCTTCAGGTGTCATTCGAGAGGTCGATCCGGTGCAACGCCCTGTGAAGGTTCCAGACGCCAAGGCTGACAGAAAGCCCCGCAGGAAGACTCCGTTTTCCTTCGACCATTCCGGACGAGAGGTTGGAACAAGCTTGGACATGGGGTAAATGATCACCGACCGTTTCTGCTGTCATGTGTGGAACCATTTAGGGCGCCATTTGCTAACCCAAGCTTAATAAATAGAGTTTGCGATAGCGGGACACGTCTTAATCGCCGGGATCAAAGACGCCGACCCAGTTAACAACGTTCAGACGAATCTTTGTATCAGGACGGAATTCGCAAACCCAGGATTTTGACTTGGAACCCGAACACGTTTATGCAATTACCCATATCGGTGTCTACGTCGGTGTCGATGTCGGGTCTCGGGATTTCCTTTATCGAAGTGAAGTTGCCGGCTCCCTTCAATTGGATTAATCTATTCGTATATACCTTGCCCAACAATCTTTTTACTATCCCAACACTTGACTTCAGCTTCGGACTCTCTGGATGAGCTTGTTAGGAGTGTCGATACAGGACAATCAAGGTTGGTCGCCGACTATCTTAATTAGATGTCAATGTTTCTGACATCTGGTGGACGTGCCAATCAGTCGTCCCTATTATCGACCCTTGTGCCGGTGAGAAGCTTCTCAGATTTTTCAGCTCCAGACGTCTCTAGACAATTTTAAAATACGTAGAGCCCCTTACAACCCAGAAAGTAGCAGTACGTAAGTAGTGTCTATACTCAAAGTTAAAATTGTGCGGGCTCGCAACCATAATTTGCACAACGTCTCAATTGGTTTGCCCGAGTAAGTGAACCGACCACTGATAACACAAATATCTTCACAACATTGCCCCTTGGCGGTACTGAAGAATGAGTACAAGATCGCAATTGTGAACAGTTGATGCCGACTCCAGATGCCGACCTGCAGGCTGCCAATCTTAGCCCTATTTAGCCCTACTTACTTTCGGGCGCTGCATCACTGCTCGGGACATGACTCTTGATGCCAGGTCTACAGCTCGGCAAATCTCTCTTGGCTTTGAAGGGCATCACAATGTTATATGCATGCGCGACGATAACTATTAATAATGGCGGAGGAAGTCGCTAATCATGCTTGAATCTACTGAATCTTCTTACTATCAATCTGCGGCCTTAGGTTTTAGAAGCCCGTCCACGCGTCACAATCTTCCAACGAACGAAGTCCAAACATCTTCTTCGAACCCACTTCACTCTGTAAAATGCTACGGTGAGCACGTTTCCTCATTCCCTCCTCAAACGCTCCAATATCCTCAGCTGTTGGGGATCCCTGGGCTGCGGCAATTGTCTTCGCAAGACTGGAAGCATCGCAGATTGCCGTCTGTGCTCCGACCCCACCACAGGGACTCATTGGATGAATAGCATCCCCGAGAAGGGTCGCCATGGCAGACGGTGACCATGAGGGAACATTAGGTACAGAAGACACAACGCGAATCAGAGTCGCCTGCGTCGTATCCTGTCGTTCAAAGACTGACCGAATAGAGGAATGCCACTCTTGCGTGATGGACAGACTCAGACGAGCGGCCTCAGCCGCCGCTTGTGCAGAGGTAGAGCTGCTGACCTTGGAAGTTGAAGTCTCTCCGTCCAGGCGGAATCGAGCTTCGGGTCCGATGAGAGCCCAGTAAATGTAATCTGCGGGGAGCTGATGCTGAGACCGGCTGACTTCGCTAAAACGGATTGGCTCCAAGAGCAAAGTAACTGGCGCATCTCCAATGATACAGGATTGCAGCATCGGTGTTTGATCAGACACGATGGTCATCCATCTCATGCCTTTCTCTGGAAATTTCTCCAGGACCTCAGGTGTCATTGGAGTTTTACCGTAAATGCAGGCAGCTCCGGTGTCTCTAATCTTGTGGCTGGGAACGAGATTGCGACGCACAACCGAGTGCAAGCCATCTGCACCGACAAGGAATCGGCCTTCTACTGTCTCGCCATCCTTGAAAGTGACGGTAACAACGCCTTGATCAACATCTGTCTTGTACGATGATAGCTCCTTGCTGAACTGAATACGGTTCTCAATGCCCGTCATCAGAGCAGTGCGGAAAGCAGCTCTGTCAACGCAGTAGCTAGGATGAAGACCAAGCTTCCCGCTCAACCCACCACCAGAACGACTATTGACCACAAGACCGGTGAATGGGTTAAAGTCGGTTTCCCCGATAGCCAGGGTAGCGCATGATGTCTGAAAAGTCTGATAGACTTCCTCGGGCAAACTCTCGGCCAGTGCGACGGCAGCGTCTCTGCGAAGCTTCAGGCGGTATCCTTGAGGCCGCGAATCAACCGCCGGGTCTCGTTCGAATACCCGGAAGGGAATGTTGTGCTTTTTCAGTGCCTGAGCCAAGCACAGACCGCTGATGCCAGCGCCTATGATCAGGACTGGCCGCTCTTCCGTTGCCGGCATGATGGGTTTCTTGATTTGGATGAAGTCGTTGGGAGTGCCAGGTGTGGAAGACTGAAGTTGGACGGTTAGAAGCCCCATGACACTGTCGTCCGGTTGGCGAGAATGCTCTATCTCCATTCCAACGTCATTGAGCAGAGTCTTCCAGTTTTCTAACTCTCGCTCTCTGGCGTTGAAGACCTGCATCATCATGAGATCTCGAACTCTCAGCTGCTGCTCATGTTGGAGAGTCGTCGACCCCGGGGGTGGTAGAATTGTATCCATGATCACGATGCGGGCTTTAGGGTTTGCCTCGAGTGCAGTCCGAAGGTTTTGCAGAATAATGCGAGCATCTCTATCGGGCCAGTCGTGAATGATCATGCGAAGGAAGTAGACGTGGGCATCCAAAACTGTTTGAGGCTTGAAAAAGTCTGAAGACATGAACTGGATGTGCGATTTGACTGCCGGATCGATGCTTGTGTCGGCATCAAATGCCCGCTGAGCAGTCGCAACTGTCTCTGGCAGATCTTGCACAATGTACTTCAGATGCGGGAATTTGGAGGCAACGTGGACAGCAAGCTGGCCGTGAGAACCACCTACATCGACGACCTTTGCGCCTTCTGGCAGCGAAGCCCAGTCGAAACACTCTACAGCATGCGCTAAACTCCAAGGCCGAGAAGCCGTGACATTGCGCATATAGCTCGAGAACACAGATGTAAGGTCCGGGTTCTTTCGAATGTGGTCAAAGAACGGATCTGTAGTATTCTCGGCGACGTTGAAAGCTGTTTGATTCTTGGCATCCGTATCGCCCCAGCGGCGAGTCGCTTCAGGGAACTTGTACGCAACTGGCATTGAGTAGTTCATCATCCAGCGGGCCCAGCTCATGAAGTTCTCGTCGCGGACAAGCAAGGCCGACGACCGGCTGTGTGAGACGTGGCCGGATGTAGGCTCTTCCAGGAAACCGTTGAGCACGGCCATACGAGCAACACCTTTGAGGTGCTTCTCGGGAACGCCCGCTTTGGCTGCCAACACCGGGTATGCAATCGAGCCGTCTTGAGGGAGTTGTTGCAGGACATCGAGATCCACGAGCCATCGGACGCAAGTTAACTCTTGGTACTGTGGAAAGTAATTGTTAGTTGCGAATGTTAATCTCAAAGAATAGTGTAGATGCTTACCCCATTGGCTAGGTGGTCAAGGTACTCTTCAGGCATAGTCGCCAGTTGGAGAAGCTTCATAGCCGACTCCATGAGCTTTTTGCGAGGATTATGGACAGCCTTCGACTTGTCCTCAAAAGGACTGGCCGCAATCGATCCATTGTCTGATTGACGGAGAAGTTCGGCTCCGTGACACGCAATCGAGTCCAGTGAGCTCCTTAGTCTCTGATAGAAGTCCATTGCAACGAGTGTAGTATGAGGGGAACTGATTGACGGGATAAAATGTGGCAATGGGATGCGGGAAGACCGTCAATTCATTGCACATCACTCGCGAGGAATTGGACGATCCATATCTTAAAGCAGCCCACAACTTCTAGACCCGGGTAGTTTGACGATCTACGAAGTGTAGTGTTTGGATTCAATTGCTCTGTGCCAGGATAAAGCTCCCCGAGGCAGCTGCCCAGAGTCATCCGCGGATGGCTAATCAATCTGTTTGTGTGTGCGAGTCCGAGCTGTTGGGTGGCTCGGGGAATACTTACCGTCTTTTTCACGGTAAACGACGATCTACCAATCACGTAGAGCCAATTGCCGGTAAAAGTGGAACCCGAAGGGACAGGTTCCCGAGGTCGTCCTGACAGTGAAACTCGCGAATGCCCAACTTCGATTTCCCGGTCAGCAAAAAGTTCAGTGTTTACGGTTTGTAGAATAGTTTTAAACTGTTGGAGATCATGTTGTCAAAGTTTCTTTACTTGAGTGAGGCCAAATCGGGCGAGCTTCTGCTGTACCATAGGCTTATCTCATGGCTTGCCGCTTGCCGAAGCCCTAGACAACAATGATGTTTGTAGAAGTCACTAGACGCAGCATAGTTCTAGTAAATAGAGGATCAGAATAGCTAGTTGGTAGAATTATTTGGCCAGTAAGTCGGGTTTTGGAACTACCCGTGGAGAGAAGCCGGTCTATAGCCAGGGAGGAGCCTATACCGGTCTTACATCGGAGAATGTTCAGCGTACTGTGAGGAAAGCCTCGAGTCAGTTTAACTTACCTTTTTTTGACAGATTACTTGCGTCTTGCATGGTCTGAAAAAGGTGAAGATTGAGTTGGGTGATGTAATCCACACGTGTAGCGAAAGTTGAGTTTGGCGCTTCTTTCGACTGAACAACGATCCAGAAGATTTACTAGTCGATTTCGATCCAGGTTGACTAGGCTCGTGCTCTCTATGTTACAGATGTTGTAGTATGACGACCTATTATTGCTCGTGCTCGTCGATTCGGGTGGGATAAGTCGATATCGCAGACATCGAGGCTAGTAATGGGCCATTGAGAATGTGTACGACATGTGTAGAATTGGCAACACTTGCACATTCCCAAGAGACTCTAGATCCACAGAACCTTACCACTGTCCCGGAAGAGACAATCGTGTCTCAGGGGTTGATCGAACGGTTACTTACCGGCCTAATCAAGACATCTCATAGCTATGAGGTAGCAATCTTACCTGTTCCCGAGATGACACAATGTCTCCGTCCCTTACCAACCCGCCGGTTCGCAAGCCAGGCTGCTAATCTCACCTGAACGGTGATAGGCCAAACATGGCAATGCCGCGGCTTTCTCTGGGAGATGGAAGACAGAGCTATACGAGCTTGCCTTTCCCGGCCTATACGATTACCGATCGGGACATTCTACAACGATTATGACTATTCATCATGACGATTGGGATATAACATGACCAGCTTGGCAACCTCGTATAGTCGTTCTTGGAAGCACACTCAACTGCACAGCCTCTTCTACACTCAACTGTACTCGGCCTATCATTCTCTAGCCCAACGATTTTCTCTGAACTCTCGATCTGAGTTGTCGATTCATCTGAACCATTCTCCTTCCAACCAACCCTCCCTTCTATCTTGGCAACTATTACGCAGCCTTGTTCTATTTTCAACTCAGGCTACACCAACATGTCGGGTCAAGATCAAGTACTCGCCTATGTCTTTGGCGACCAGACACATGACATCGCAGACACGCTGCGTAGTCTGGTACAATCCCACCATGATCCACTCGTGATCGACTTCCTTGAGCGAAGCTGTGGAGTGCTGAAGCACGAAGTTGCCCGCCTATCCCCAGAGCAACAGACACTATGCCCACGCTTCGCTACCTTGGCAGATCTGCTGTCATCATACCGTTCCGGTACCCTCAACCCCTGTCTTGTACAAGCCTTGACATGTATTACACAACTTGGCCTCTTCATCCGTCAACATAGCAGCGGATGTCAAGTCTATCCCACACCTGAGAACAGCCTCTTGGCGGGGATCTGCACCGGTGCCTTGGCTGCTGCGGCCGTGAGCTGTGCTCATAGCGCCCCTAGCCTTCTCTCACCCGCGCTCCACGCCGTTGCTGTTGCCGTTCGCTTGGGCGCGCTCGCATGGGACGTCGCTGATAGAATCACCAACAAGCATGAGATATCCGATTCTACCAGCACGTTCGATTCGTGGTCTCGCGCCGTCACTGGATCGAGCCCGAAGATTCTTGCCGACGCCCTACTGCAATATTCTGCGGAGGCTGGCCTGCCCGTGACGACTGCTCCGTATATTTCAGCCATTATTGGACCTAATCAAGCAACCGTCTCTGGACCGCCCGGAGTTCTCTCCAACTTCTTGGCCTCGGCCATCGGCAAGTCCGTTGCACCTACCTCAGCATCGCTGCGCATCACTGCACCATACCATTCTGCACTATTCTATAGTGAGCACGACATCAAGCAGGTCCTTGCTGGTGTTTCACAGAGCAGCTCGTCTCTGGCTCGCATTCCTGTCATCTCCACTAGCACCGAGGGCCAAGTGCTCTCCACCAAGGCAAGCCTCCGAGATGCGCTCGAGCAGGCTGCTCGCGACTGCCTCGAGCGAGAGATGGCGCTTGAGCAATTGCCGGTCCGTATTGCTGAGTATGTTAGACGTTCGGCTAAGACGACGACGGACAGCATCACAGATGTGATTATTCAGCCTTTTGCCTTCCACAGCACGGATCGCCTTGTCTCCCCTGTTCGTCGCCTTCTACCGTCAGACTCCTACTGTGTACAAGAGAGGTCCCCTCTGGGTGCTGAAGAGCTTGCCTCGCTTGCTGGTAATGGTGCTCTCGGTGCCAATGGCGGCGCTTCGAAATCTCCCATCGCCATCCTTGCCGCTTCAGGCAAATTCCCTGGCAATGCTGATACTATGGACGCGTTCTGGGACATCCTCCACAAGGGCGTCGATACTCACGAGATGGTCCCCGCCTCTCGATGGAACGCATCTGCTCATGTTGGCGACACGTCTGTGAAGAACGTTTCTGGCACAGGCTTTGGCTGCTGGCTGCATCAGGCGCCGCAGTTCGATGCCGCTTTTTTTAACATGTCGCCGCGTGAGGCCGCTCAAGTCGATCCTGCTCAACGCCTTGCCCTCTTGACTGCCGCCGAGGCTCTCGAGAAGGCCGGCATCGTGCCTAACCGTACTCCGTCTACTCAAAAGCACCGCGTAGGCGTATGGTTTGGCGCCACTAGCAACGACTGGATGGAGACCAACAGCGCGCAAAACATCGATACCTACTTCATCCCCGGCGGTAACCGAGCTTTTATCCCTGGCCGCATCAACTACCACTTCAAATTCAGCGGTCCAAGTTACACCATCGACACCGCCTGTAGCTCTAGCTTAGCTGCGCTACACTTAGCATGCAATGCTCTATGGCGCGGCGAGGTTGACACCGCCATTGTGGGAGGTACTAATGTCCTCACCAACCCTGATATGACGGCTGGTTTGGATAGAGGCCACTTCCTCTCCCGCACTGGCAACTGCAAAACCTTTGACGATGACGCTGATGGATACTGCCGCGGCGAAGCAGTCGTCACAATCATTCTCAAGCGATTGGATGACGCTCAGAAGGATAAGGACCCCATCGAGGCTTGCATCTTGGGCGTCGCCACAAATCACAATGCTGAAGCAGAGTCCATCACCAGGCCCCATGCCGCTGCCCAGAAGGACCTTTTTGAGCACATTCTCGCCGAGACCAAGGTCAGCTCAAACGACATCAGCTACGTTGAGATGCACGGTACCGGCACGCAGGCCGGCGATGCAGGAGAAACTACCTCAGTTGTGACGACCTTGTCTCCGTTGACGACTCGCGGTACATCTGTCCGTCCAGCCACCAGTCCTCTTCACATTGGTGCTGTCAAGTCCAACGTTGGCCATGGTGAAGCTGCTGCCGGAGTCACCAGTCTTGCCAAGGTCCTGATGATGATGAAGCACTCGACTATCCCTCCTCACATCGGCATCAAGACCAAGATCAACCACAAGCTACCTGATCTTCAAGCCCGCAACACCCACATTGCTACTGTCGCAACTCCTTGGGTTAGACCCGTAAACGACAGCCGTCGAGTCTTGCTGAACAACTTTTCTGCCGCAGGCGGCAACACCGCTATCGTCCTAGAAGACGCCCCTGTTTTCGACAACTACACTGGCCCCGACCCGAGACGTCACCACATCGTGACGCTCTCTGCTAAGACAGGCGAATCCTTAGTCTCTAATATTGGCAACCTTCTTCAATGGCTTGATGGTGCGGCACCGCGTGAAGACCCCAATCTTCTCGCAAAGCTCTCATACACCACCACCGCCCGCCGTATGCATCATCGGTATAGGGTTGCTGTGACTGCTACCAGTATTCCCCAGCTCAAATCATCGTTGCAGAAAGAGCTCGATGCCCGCAGTGGAGGGGAGAAAATTCTGCCTGCCCCAGCCAAGACGCCCGGCTTCGTCTTCACCTTCACAGGCCAAGGCTCGCCGCACGCTGGAATGGGCGCGGACTTGTACGCCCGGTTTGCGTCCTTCAGGAACAACTTGCAGCGCTACGATCACTTGTGTGTACAGATGGGCTTGCCGTCGATTCTCCCTCTCTTTGAGGAACGGGATTACTTCAGCCGCGCTTCCCTTACTGCTCTTCAGTTGGCGCACGTTTCTTTCCAGATGGCTCTTTGCAAGCTCTGGGAGTCGTTTGGCATCACCCCCAAGGCAGTCGTTGGTCACAGTCTTGGAGAGTACGCCGCTCTCTACGCCGCTGGGTCTCTCTCTCAGGCCGGTGTTCTCTATTTGGTTGGAAAGCGATCTCAGCTGATGGAGGAGCACCTGGCCCAGGGAACGCACGCCATGCTCGTCGTCATGGCTGAAGAGGCTACAGTCCTGGCCGCTATTCCTGGTGTTGTTGGTCGCGATCTCGAGGTTTCGTGCC